ACCCTACAACCTTTGAGTTATTTAAACTCAATTAATTAACATAAAACACTTAGAATTAATTTCTCATTCACCTTAAAAAGGTTTTGAGAATTTCCTAAGTCTTCTACTTACGAAAAATGAAATCGTTAAATCGGCACAAAACCAATTTTTCTTACATTTCTCATTCCCATATTTTGAAGAATTAATTTTGTAAAGAATAAAATTAAAAAAACAAATAAAAATAAATATATAATATATACTATAAACTTGTCATTCCATTTTGATTAATGATAATGATAATATAGAATAATAATATAGCATGATAAGTATATAATATATACTATAAACTTGTGATAAATGATAATATATAATGGTAATGTCATTCCATTATGGTCTTATTCATTCTGTATATCAAACACATCAATGGAAAAACTTGTTTCATTCATTTCCCATATTCATTACATTTTTCAACTCATTCAATTTCTATCAAATTTCATTCTAATATACCAATCATGTCATTAAAGAAAACTGATGTAATAAGACTTTGGAAATATTGTGTTTGTATTTCGTATCTTCTTTTCTTCACAAGAAGACAAGTCTTATATATGTTGGGATATGTGGGGATCCGTTATGTACAAATCATGAATTCAATAGCAAACGTAAACTTATAAACTTATTCGCAACGAAACTAAAGGTTTGACGTAGAAAACTTACGTCTTAAAATTTTCTGAATCTGATGGATTCGGGATGATGTAGGATGACCGGGAAACAGCACGTCGGAATCGACGAGATCACGAACGAAGGCAGAGCTCATCGTCGACGGATCGTGGGGCTGCGTGCAAGTCGTCGGGCTGGTCGTCGCGGCTCACGGCTGGTCGCGGCAGTCCTCGGCTGGCATCATGGCGGTCGTCGGCTGGCGTGGCTCATCGGCGGCTGCCGGAGGGTCACGGTGGTCAGCGATCGGCTTCTCCGAGGTTGATGAATATATGTCTCGGTTACCTCGGGATATTCTACTATATTACTCGTACACCTCTTCAACTTGTACCGGTGGAGCAACAAGAAGAAGATAAAGCTCGAACAGAAAACACACACACACAGAGAGAGAGAGAGAGAGAGAGAGAGAGAGAGAGAGAGAGAGAGAGAGAGAGAGAGAGAGAGAGATAGATGGATAGATAGATAGAGGGTCTGCGACGTGTTTGTGTTTAGCACGTAGCAGAATTCTGATCTCTCCTTCTCTATTCTATGAGCTTAATGATATATATATAGAGCTACAATAGGGATTCGCAGAAGAAGATGAATATGACTTCTTGAGTAATGGGCTAACTGTGGGTCGTGCTCACTCTTCCAATTACTTAAATAATATTACAGTCCACTAAGGTAATATTATTGCACTCTCTTTTTCTATCCTAAATTACTTTTTTATAAGATGTAATGTCCATTAATTAATTCGATTACTTATAATCAAGAATTAATTAATATATAATATTACCAAAGCTAGCGCTCATTCATTGCATTATTATTAGCCGGAATTTAATCCACATACAGGGTTTAGCATAACAATCCTTCATGAACTCACTTTGGGGACATCATCAAACTAACGGACATGGTGACCGTAAATATACTAACAACACATCCTACATGCAACGATATTACCCAAGACAGTAAGAATATTAGTCCAACGAACTGAACCTCACCCAAGTGAATCAAAGTAATAAGTACTGCATATATATGTCTGTTTAATATCTTACGGGTTAAGAAAACGCAGTAATTAAGCGAGGCCTAGTTCGTTTACGATGATCAGCATAAAACGAACTTCTCCTCTCTGCGATCTTGTTGATACATAAATGTACTAGTGCAACTAGTCAGTCAAGACCAACTATACTGTTGACACTACAACCGTTCTGATGGGGTGTTCATTTCCATCTAGGTTGTGAACCATAATTCTTGTTTCGCAAGTCACTGATAAAATGATCTCCTGTTCACCATTTTATCTAAGTGCAAAACAATAGAACATAAAACTTGTTTAATCGTACATGATTCTCATTCATAAAGGGCAGAAGTGTAATATCATCTAAAGCCAAGCTTTCAATATATAACACTAATTATATTGTCATAAGATAAGGCATATTTATTAATTAAATCATTTAATTCAAACTTAATAAAGTTAAATGTAACATTAATAAAACTAAGTTATAGGTTTTAAAAGTGAAGACACAGTTTCAAATTAATTTTTCAGTTGCAAATTTCATTCACAATTTTCCAACATATACATCATGCAATATAATGACAACATTGTTCGATTTCATTTCTTAATTACTACAGTGAAAAAATGGCAAACTCGTGTTCGTTATTTATGAGTATAGTTTAAGCACATGCTAAATTAGCCTGAAATGTGTCAAACTATGAAGATTTTTGTTTGTGGATGGACATGCATCGTTTATCATATTAACGTTATCTAATGTTGGTATGTATCTACCAAAACATATTTTCAATCATGGACAACTTTATATTGCCATATCTAGCGCTAAGAACAAAGAGGGCTTGAAAAATTTGTTGTTGAAACAAGGATGAAAAACTCGTAAAGGAGAACTAATAATATTGTGTTCAAATAAATTTTTGAGAGTTTGAAATAAAATACCAATGATGGCAATTGTTTTACAACTACATTTGTTTATTATATACTTACTGATACTAAACAATAAAAAGTAGCTCGATCGGTCTACCATCTTGACGCGATAAACATTGAGGCCGAGCTTTGGGGTGAGCTCAGCATATATTTGTGAATAATTAAGGTGCAAGGAACTGAGGTGCGGTTGTTACAGGTCAAGCTCGGCGGAGCAAATGGAGAGGGTTGAGCTCGGCAGTAAGCGCAACGTGTACTCGCAGGTCGGTAGCTAGGCACACTCCGTAGGAGTAAGCGCGGCGAGGCAGTATTAGAGCTCGCCGAGGATGATGGTCGAAGTTTTGAGTCTAGGGGTTGCGGATCTTCCAGACGGGGTATTGTCATGGCATAGTACCTTCGCGTGCAGTGAGGGGTCTTATTCTCTCTAGCCACGGGAGTTGGGGGTAGCCAGGACTCTAGAGTCCTAGATGAAATATGCGTTGACTAAGAGTTTAGCGCAGACAAGACTTCTAATCACGATAGGTCTTCTAGAGCAAAACCACTTTCAGCTATAAAAGGGACATGTTCTTTTGCTTTCCACACAACACAGCTTTACAGGAAATACGTTCTGTCTCGTTACTCTGGCATTTTCTCTCGGATATTCTACTGATTTGAGCGTACGAGTGCCTACACTGGGACCCGTTTTGTTTTGCAGGTAATCGGCGATCAAGGAGGTACAAAACCGGTTCGAGATAATTTGACTCATCACTTACAATAACTAAACTCTTTTACTTTTTTTTGTTCAAATTTTTTTCTATGCACCCATATAATACACGAATGTCGTACTAATAAATTAATTAATATTAATTAATTGATTTATTTATTTATATTAAATATTGCTCAACGCTAGTATGAAAAGAAAGTAACACACAAGGATGTTGACTTTTCACGTTTGCATTAGTTCCAAGTTATCTATTTTAAAAAAAATTAGTTTTTTTGGGGACATTCGATAAAATTAAAACGATAAAAAGAAGATTAGCACGAGCCATGCACAAGGATGACATTCATAAGTCTACTTTAAAAATAATAGAACAGTAAATAAAATATTATTATCAATTAATCTCGATTTAATAATACAAAATTTGAAAAACCAGCTCTGCTCGCGATTTTTTCCCCAAATATACCCTAGCCTTCGCCGCCTCTAATTCGATCGTTTTTCACCTCCTTCGGCGTCGGCGAGGCCGGGCCGGCGGTCACCGCGACTGCCCGGCTTGTCCCTGATGCCATTCTCTCTCATCTCCGGCTGTGTTTGGTGGATTGGCGACTCGGCTCACGGCTGTTGGTGGGTGGCCGCGAGCTTTCTCCCTCGAGCGGGGTCCGGTGGTTTGCAGGCTTTTGGAGCAGACGACGGACTTGGGAGCGTCTCTGCTGAATTCTGGTGCGGGGATGTCCGCCGATGCAGTTGC